CTCTCGTCATATTTGGGATGAGCAAATACTCCGTAAAGGTAGCGTTATGTGTATTAGGAACATCGGAACAGAATTTTGACGGTAACCAGATGCATTTTGAAATTCATTATTTGGATAGAGTATCCATCGATCGTCGAATAGGAAGACTCGGGAGCGTAAAGAATTGGAAATTCGAAGATTGGAGAGCTGCAGTCCGGGCAAGATTCGCATCGATGGTAGGTGCATGTACGTGTGTTTGCTCGGCTGGTGAATGTCCTCCGCTCCTGGGCTTTGGCTGGGACTTCCTGGTGAACCCTTCCTTCAGCCTCGTCCCTCTCTGTTCCACGGAGTTGTTCGCAGCCGCGGTGAGCTCTGTGCAACGTGGAGGGAGAGAAACGAGGAGAAAGAGAGGCTCGGTGTACGAGAGAGAGTGAATGACTAGGAGAACGCGAGAGATCGATATTCGAAACCCCTGTGCCGTTGGGCACCGAGCTCTCCTCTTGCCACCCCACGCCCAGTGGCGTAGCAAGAGGGGGCAACTGGACTAGGTACTGCCTGTTCCCAGGATACTCAACAAACGGAAGTTTGGGACAAAGAGGAGGAGCGTTATAAATTGTCCGATTCGGGATTTACGCGGTGCTGCCGCCGCCTCCTCCTTCCCTGTCTGGCTGCTTTCTTTTCTTCTCTTTTTTTTTCTTTTTTTAATCGTCGTCATTTTCATCGACCAGCCAGGCTATATTTTAACGGATAAATTCAATTTTCCCATTATAACCGCAACGCCTCGAAATGCCTCGTTCCTCGATAACTGCAATAGCTGTTTCCAATTGTCAGAATGTACGATAAGATTTTGAAATCTGAAGAGCGGGAAATTTAAATAAAATCAAATTCAAAATTTACATTCACGTTTGCCTGTTTAAAGATCTATTTATACGGGGTGGGATGGATTATCGCAGCTTACGCCGTTGCTCGTGCCTGTCCTCGTATGCATGCTATTTACCATTAGATTATCATCCCCTCATTTTTTCGTCTCTTCCCTGTACCCCTCGCCACGCCCCGTTTGTGCTTTCTTTCGACCCCTACTGGGCAGTTCTTTTCTTAACGCGACTTTTCCATCCGCGTATCTTGTATCTCGCGTTGCGAATGTAACAGGCGGCAACGAGCAAACCAATTATTTCCGCCGCGATGATCGATTCGCGTACGTAATTCCAGAGGCCCGAGTCATTAGCGAACGTTCGTTAACATTGACTACCACGCCTTTCCTATTGACACAACGCTGAAATCATATTCACGCCGGCTGGTGTGCGTATTTCCTTTTCCTATCGGTCGATACGTTGTTTGGAATCGATCCTAGATAAGATAATCGTCGATCAGGCGCACATTAGGATTTTATTCATTCATGTCAAAGAGGGAGACGTTTGTAAATTATGCAGCCAATGTTTCTTCTTTCTATTCCATCATAGAGATTGTATTCAAAAATTTACGTATTTCCGTATATCTGTCCTTATAAAGGGAGTGCTACTAGGCTACTATTTTTTAATAACAAAAACGTTTCGATGGAAAACATGTAATTCGATTTTTTCTTTGTTAACGTTTCATTATCGCTGCACCGTCGTATTGTGTGATTAACCGATGCCCGAGGCACGTGGATCCATTTATGCAGCACGTGTGCTCTTAAGATTCCGCTAGGGGTAGCGTTACAATATTCCGTGATGAATGCACTTCCTCCAAGTAGCTAGGGTTCCCACAAAAAAAAAGAGGGGGCTCTTGATTCAATTCGAGGCCTCTAATATCTTGTGCTTACAACGAAAAAGAGGAAGGAAAAAAAAAAGAGGTGACGAGGGATAGGGAGAGAAAAGGGGACAGGGAGGGTAATAGAAGTCGAAAAGTTAAAGCGATTATATCTAACGAGCGAGGGAAAAGAAAAGAAAAAAAAACGAATCGAACGAATTGTCGGATTTCGAATATCGAGTTTAACTTTCTGGAAAATTTGGTGAATATTCGTGCATGTTAAATGGAGGATGGGGTGGCTAGAGGGAAGGTTAAGGTAGGGGAATGGTGGTGAACTATGTGGCAAAGGCACGGCGAAATTTGGCCGCATTCGCACGGTCGAAAAGCTCTCTTGCACAAGAGGGAGGTCAACCCTGGGACGACGGTTTCCATTTTCAACGTGGCGCCTGCGTTTTCGAGCTCTGCACGGGCTACCAACCCTCTCTCCTATGCTCGTTTCCCCTTTTCAAGCCTCCACTCCATTCCTTTCTTTCTCTTGTTTGCGGAGCCTGAATTTCCACCCCTTCTTCTCCAACCCTCGAGCGCAGCGCTTGCGCACGTGCACTCCCCCGCACGTCTAGCCATTTTTTCTTCTTCCCCTCGAATTTAACCCCCGTCCCTCGGAGCGCTACAGTGAGACCAACTTCTCCGACGAAATATTCAAATATATTTCTACGTCGAATTTATTATCCGCCGACTGCAATCACGTCCACGTCTCTTCCGTTATTTATAAATGTTGTTCTTTCATAATTCTTAGAAACTGTTTTTCTTTCTTTTTTTTTTTTTTAGTAGGTAGGTGTCGTTGAAACAACGATCCTTGAATCTTTTTTTGTGGCGACCCTGTCTGTAAGAGCACCGTCCGTCTTCACTTGAGTTCGCAATTAACACCTTTTTCCGGGCCATCTAGCTGGCGGCAGTTGCTTTCCCCTGATTCCAATCTTTTA